CTGCAAGTCTCACTCATCGCGGTCGTCGTCGATGTGTGTGGTAATAAACAGCATTGCAAATTTTAAACGAAAATAATAATATCGTCGCCGCCACTGTCCACGTCGTGTTTTGGTGGTGGTATGATCATATATAAGTACGCCAGCAGTGTAAGTCGCGTGTGCGCGCGCGTTTTTTTTAATTATCACTTCGCAGTCGTACGCCCGCCCAGTATACGTCCGAGTGCGAGCACGTCGTCCGGTCTCTTCGGTCTCGGGACTGAACGCGATCGGTGTTAGCACGCGCGCGCTTGTAGATTAGGCTAAATGTTATCACGTCTCATGTTTATAGTTATAATATTATATATACATCATTACAATAATTATTATTGAAGCGCATGTCGTGCGCGCACAATTACCGGGTGTCAAACGTACATAATATTATTAATAAGTGTGATAACTTTTACAATATTCGCTTCAAAGTCGTAAACGATATTATACWACAACATTGYTATAATATTATCGCTCATTATCCATATTACACTGCTATTAAATTATATTACAGTGTTGTGTGTTGTGTGCCGCATGGACCGGTGGATCCGTTGATCGACACCGCCGCCACCGTCGCCACCGTCGACCACCTGTGGCGCGCGCGCGATCTTCTTCAGGTCGGGTCGGGTCCAGCTCGTCCGTGGATTCGGTGTGTGCAGCTGCTGTTGTTGCAGGGTCTCCGTRCAGTGCTGCTGCCGTTGCCGCTGCTCATCGCCCGTCATCCGCCGTCACCGTATTCATGATATTATAATATTATTACATTATATTATAATCGTATATATTATAATAACAGTATAATAACATATATACGCACGTTACAACTGGCGATTGTCGTCGTTCACGATGAGAGGTACGTACGGTATACCTATAATAGTATTATTATATGCTGCACTATATTTGTATATAGCTACACGCGTACTATATTATTATGACGGRCGACCATTGTACATTATTATATAAGCAATAAAAACGGTTTTACACGTAGTGATGTGTTTAGCACGCGCCGCACGACTTATCCTGGTAGATGAAACGTCTTTTCCTGGTCCAAGCCTTCTTCAAGCCGCTTTTAATCATATATCGTCTATTATTGTTTTAGAATTTGTGGTGGTTATTCTATACAAAAACCGAAACAAAACGAACAGAAAATTGCGAAAATTTGTCATTGTAAACGGTTTTTGATTTTTAAACGTAGTATACCTACAACCTATATACCTATACCTGAATAATATACTAATCATAGTCGCCTATGTTTTACGCGTGATGGCTTTCATAATTAATCGACTTTTAGAATATTAATAGCGATGAGGGTARAAGTAAATTTTTTAAGATACTTATACCTATTTGATTATTATATAATATATAATTTCAGTTCTATGGTCTCTAATTTAAAACAATGTGTTAAGCTTAGGACTAGTTCCAAATAAAAAATAACTTTGCGCCACCACACCACCTAAACTTGACTATACACTGGGTCGATTTTTTTAGAAATTACTATAGGTATCAAAGATAAAAATTATTTTAACATAATTTATATGTATAGTCGTATGAGAGTTGAGTTCTATGTGTATGTTATAATACAGTACCGTGTATACTACTATACTATACTTATTTTATATTATATAGGTACTAACAGATAATGCGTTATCCATAACACCGCATATGGATTTGTTTTCACACTYTCTCTCTCATGATATTGTAAAATATTTATAATCATATTATTAACACATTATTATAAAATATAAATATATATCAAACAATGCCCGAGTTGTAGCCATGTGCTTTGCACGATGATAAGTATATCTACCTACAATACGTAT